GGCATGCCCAGCTTTACCGGCCAGGATGACAGTGCCTTTATGAACAGTCAGCTCATGGGGCTTGGCATGTCCGAGGCCCTTCCCCCATATGAGATGATTGAAGAATTGTGAGCCGAGCCTGCAGTTTGGTGCACTTCCAAGGGGACACTGCTAATGATGACAGACACAACATCTACTTCAATACTCACTATCACTTCCTCCCTATCATCCACTCTGGCCGCTATTATCAAGCCTTCTATGGCCCCCCAAATAGAAAGCCGCCAATGTGTCTGCAGTATGCACTGTGGGCATACACTGCCATTGGCCATCCTAAATATGACCAGTATGCCGAGCCCTTCTATAAGAGAGCTCGGCAGTACATTGAGGCAGATGAGATGAGAGTGAGCCGGACCCTGTTCGATTCCGACACTGGGAACATCTTGCGTTCTAACTCATCGGCTCAGAGCGACGGCGAGCATTTCGTGACAGTAGCTCACGCCCAGGCTTGGGCCATCATTGCCGGTTACGAGGCCAAAGCCATGCTCTTCACACGAGCATCTATGAGTGCCTCGCGCTACGTTCGCCTTGTCCAGATGCTCGGACTGGACAGGCTTGACAAAGAAGGCGACGACATACCCCCGACGCTTGGCCCCATTGCCAACTGGACCGAGCTGGAGGAGCGCAGGAGGGTCTTTTGGGGCGCCTTTGCCATTGATGCTCACGCAAGCTTGGCGACTGGCTGGGCTCACATGGTCAAGTCCGAGGACGTAAGGCTCTCTTGCTTTCTTGACTCGTTTCTTTCTGGCGCAAACCTGGTGAGTACTTAGGACCGCGCTGACCAGAGTACAGGTAATGACGCGGCTTCCGTCTTCAGAAGACGCTTTCATGTCGGGGAGGGAAGAGAAGACGGCCTTTCTGGAGGAACTGTTTACGGGGGCCCCTTATGAAAGCTTCTCGGGTGCCATTGTCATCTGCGAGGTCTTCAAGATCATCCTGAGGCACGTGCACGGGGCGAAGCCGTCTGACCACCCAGAGGACCTGATGAACGGCGCATATTGGAAGCGGCATCGCGACCTTGACAACAAGCTGTCGAGTCTCTTCATGTTTCTGCCCGAGAAATTCCGCCTCCCAATGAGGGCTCAGGATCCAGCCGCGGTGCAGACAAATCTCAACCTGCACGCCTCCGTCATCTGTCTACACCATGCTGCCATTGAGACGGCAGAGAAGTACGGGTTCAACGACACCATCAAACAGAACAGCTTACACAGGCTGAGGACTGCGGCCGAGGAGATTGTCAACATCATCAAGCTAACATCACATCACACGTCATTCTTTGTATGTCTTTTGGATTCCTTGTCCCCTTTCTACCCTACTAACAATGGCAACAGAAAACACATCTCTGTGCTCTCTCGTTGTATTCTGCCACGACCGTGTATGTCTATCTGGCCAAGGACGACCCCGTGGCCGGTGTCACCCCTATTGATGTCTCCAACCTGGAGACCATCATCAACGCAATGGAAGCCATCGGCCGCGTGCACCAAGTGACAACCGCCTTCCTGCAGCAAGCCTGTCTCGATATCGAACGCAATGGGTTGACATCCTGCCTCCGGCTTCCGGCCCTCTCAAAATACCGCGATTTATTTGGCGGCCCGGCGTCCAATATTCCGCGATTTGCGCGCACCTCAGTGTCGCAACACACTGAGATGTCTTCGCCATTGCCCGGACGATTACCTCTCGGCGGTCCCAAGGGCGTCAGGAGGCCGGCCGGCTTGAGGATGAGCAAGCCGCTTGCCTCCATGACGGGCGTCCAGCCGGAGTTGACTCACACGGCAGATTGCTTCAACGCTGTTCTCGGCGCCGTCACCCGGAATGTTGCCCCCAAACCATCTGATGCCGCCAACCACAAGCGGAAGCGAGTAGCCGTCAGCCCCGGGCCGGACGTGGGTATGGCTTCTTCTGCTAGCAGTAACCCCGGGACTTCTGGGATAGCGGCCAGGGACTTTCGCTTCAGCATCAGCAAGGGCTGCGTGGACACGCCCGCGAACCACGCTTGCGGGAACCTCTGGTCCCATGGAGACGTGGACATGAACCCCCAAGCGGCCGTCGACCCGATCTTTGTGCTGCCGGACCGCACCAACTCGACCGCATCGTCCCCGGCCCCGCGAGGACCCTGCACGGAGCCGTTTTCGGCGAGCAGCCACACCTCGCCCAGCCTGGGTCTCGGCAACACGCCCGAGGAGAACCGCATTGATCTCCGGCAGTTTCAAGGGCGCATCACCACTCCCCTTTGGCAGAGCACGGAGGAGGGCATCTTCAACCACATTACGGAGACGATTGCGCAGTATTCAGGGGATGGCAACGATCCTTGGGCATTGTTAAACGGCGAGCATAACAATTGGAGTGGCGCCACAACAAATTGACCCAAGGGTACGATTATGGTCTCTCTTCTTTCTTTTGGCGCTTTGAATTGGGCAGTGTACGATACGGGAATACCATCCCTCGTGTGCGCGAGGACATACGCAACTCTTTTTTTTTTTGGTGTACAAAACTGAAGGGAAAGCAGACATCATCTTTTCTTTGGAGTTCTGGTTGGACATGGGATTGGACTTGGGAACTGTCATCACCTCTCTTTACAGCAGGATTGTATATGAATGAATATATAGAATATATGCTAATGCCATATAATAACGATGCAATGCTGTGCTGCTGTGAGAAGAGTTGAGGTGAGGTCAGGTGACGAGGTTGATGGGGAATCAACAGCCCCCCACATCGGCCCGTGAAGGAACTCGTATGACCGTGGCATTTGCTCTACTCGGTGAGCTTCATGATGAGACTCGCCCCAGCTTCACCGTCTCCATTGAACCTCTCAATTCTGCCTCCGTCTATCTTATCCACCTCAATTTCCCTCGCGCAAAAAAGGGCGACTCGATCCAAGTTCACCGAGCAACACCACTAGCCCTACGAAACGGGTGAAGACGTAGAAGAAGAAGAAGAGGCGGAAAATGTTCACATACATCATCGGCCTCGTCGCCGCCCTCCTGCTCATCATCCCCAACCCCCTCACGCAGTACCTCCTCCCCGACCACCCCAAGACAAAAAGCGGCAAGCATCTGTCGCCGCGGCCGCAGCTCAACGAGTCGCTGCTGGCCATTGACGCCCCGAACGCGACTCTCCCGGACTGTCCGGCCGACGCGTACGGGGTGCGGATCTTGCGCAGGGAGCCGCTGGTGGTGTATCTGGCGGCCTGGCCGTTGTCGCCCACGCAGTCCAGCTGGAGGCGCTCGCAGTTGCGGCATCCGTTTGGCCTGCCGTCGCATTTGACCTGTCGAGGAGAGGAGGCATCTGCTTGAGATTAGGTGCGTTTTTTTCTTTTTTGTTCAACTTGCGTTTTTGTGAAAATTGTTTTGCTTGTTAGGGCGTCGGGTGATGGGTGATTGTGTTTTGCTTTCTTGAGAAGGGCTTACTCAAAAGCCGTATATATATATATATATATATCTGTGACGAGGGGAAGATGGAGCTGATGAGGATATATATATATATGCTAACGTAAATATACACAGCGAGCCACTCTTTGAGCCCTCAACAGTCACCCACGACGCCAGCTCGACCCACCGCGACACCACTGTCCGCGACTCGTCCGTCGCGCTCCTCCCGCGAACAGACGCGGTGCGCTGCATCGAAGCCCGCGCGCTCGCCTTCCAGGGCTGGCGCCGCGACGTCTGGATCGAGCGCCTGCGGACGCAGCGGTACGTCGAGGGAGGGTACTACAAGCACCATCTGGACTGGAGCGGCAACGTGGGCGGCTGGGGAAGGGTGAGCAGCTTCATGGCGTGGGTGGATGCGTCGGGTGACTTGGAGGGCGGGGGCACGGAGTTTCCGCTGCTGATGGAGGAGGAGGTTGGGGGGAGGTGGTGTGACTTGGTTGAGTGTGAGAAGAAGAAGCAGCAGCAGCAGCAGCAGCGGGACGATGATGAGGCTGCTGGTGGCGGTGATGAGGAGGAGGAGGAGGAGGGGAGGGGGATTACGTT